CCCCACATACACACACAGTCTCACCTGTAGCTGAAGTAGGTGCCCTCTGGACACTCCCCTAAGATGGCGTTGACGCACACACCATCAGTGTGACCGCTGCAGGCTGAAGAGAATTATCATAATTTATAGAAATAAATGTGAGGCATCGTGGTGAAATCAAGCGCCAGTTTTTAAAAAATGAAATCGAAGAAATCCGCTTTTTTTCGGCCAGTTTGGACATATTTGTCTGGGGGTTTTTTAAATTTCACTTTTGGGTTTGGGGGGAGGTGGGGGAGGGGGAGGGGGCGCTCAACACATTGTACGTCAACTCAAAAAAACATTCCTATAAGTGGATTTTAAGGAATAAAGTTAGTTAAAGGCACGAAAATGTAAATTTGCAGTTTCCAAGGACTCTCAGGCTATGGGAGTTACCAAACTTTGACGGCTATTTTCTAACTAATTTTACCTCTGAAACCAGGGAACCCTGGTCTCCTTCAACCGCAATTATTACGACTTCTCTTCAACATAGATGGATATTTTTTCACCAAAAGAAAGTCAAATAAATAGACTTTAAGATGACACCTATTAAGCCCAAAATGCAGAAGAATTGACGAGCGCTTGATTCCACCACTCGGGACATAAATGTAAAGTAAAATAAAATTGCTCCCGCATCCGATCCCGACATTGGGGATTGTCCTTTTAGCGAGAGAACTTCCTGGGCCTTTGGCATACTGTGTTAGGATGGCTTCCATGTGATGATTTTGGGCCAATATCTCCATTTTGGGATTGCGAGAAGTAATTCATTTCGTCAGCACGTCTCACATATAGTCTGTGGCTCATCAACAAGCAATAGATGGAATAATTTATCTCATGAAATGTTCATGTGTGATATAAAAATATTATTATGTTATTGGATCACTTTTAGCCTCAGTTTTGAGAGTTTGGGTATTGTAAACGTTTTCCACCTACTATTTGTCTGTGTGCCTGGAGAAGCATTCACGTAGCCGAAAATTTTAGATGTTGAAATAAGGGCATATTCTTGTAACCAATTTCATGCTGAGCACGCTGTTTTAGAACTTTTTCAAACATTTGAGTTCTTTTAAAGATATGCTACATTTTGTAACACGTGTGGAAAAAGAAACAAAGTTAGGAGAAAAAAGCAACAACGAAGTTCTAGCACATTTTTAACGTTTGGATAAAATACAACATGTTGCAAAAAAAAAATTAAATTAAAATTATTTTTTTTCATTACTAGGTCTTACAATTTAAAAAAAAATATATTTCGACTTTTTAAAAAGTTTTTTTTTAATGGTGAAACGTGTGTTTTCTGGTGGAACTAAATTCTTGACAAGGATTTTCGGACATTTTACGCTGTTGCTCAAAAATAGTTTTACCGAAAAGTGCGACATTTTTCAGGGCATAGATACATTTATTTATTCTTTGGAATCGTTTAACGCATTTTGCCAAGCTTGCCCATGCAAGGACTGTATAGCATTGATTTTTTTTCAACTATTATTACCCTAGCAGCCCTTAGAACTCAACTTAAAAACAGTCAAGGCTTCCCGGAAAGCACACAGTGCTAGAAGCGACTTACACGCACTCAAAATGGGCTTGTAAATGGTCTGATTCATCAATGTCATGCTCATAACTGTGCCTGAACTGCAACAGGGAACTGCTGCTTTTTCTTTCTTAATCCTTACTATTGTCATTTTTCCTCTACTTCTTTCGTATGTTTATCACACTCTTGTGACCCACTATTTCCGGGTGTGCCTTGGTAGTCGAAGCAGACATTGTGAGGTTGAAGCTAGAGAGGTGAACAGAGTAAGTCTGATTCCCTGCTGTAGTAAGGAGTTCTCTGTTGACATCCACCCCTTAATGCTCATATTATGATGTTTTGCAGTTGCTAGCACCGTAAAACCTCTACTAAAACAAACCAAAAAAAAGTCATGAGACAAATGTACTAACCCGCCTCGGCGTAGGAAGCGGTGAGGGCCACACACAGTGCCACAGGGATGAGAAAGGAAAACATTCTGACCAGGGACAGAAAACAAAAAGGAGGCAACTTCTGCTGCTCTGTAGAGGAATACAGCTGGAATCGCTGACATTTATACGCTGGAAAAGTGTGCAAACTATAACACTACGTGTGTGCGTCACGTGGTTTTTGGAATCACTGGTATGTATTTTGTGGCACGACATGGTGGAATCAGGCGGCGCCGGTAATTTTGGGACATGTGGAGTTAGTGGTGTCATCTTTTCTTTTGTTTATTTGTCTTGCATTCAATGCAAAAAAATATATATAATTCCCATCTATTTTGAACATACGTCGATATTATTTGTTACTGACAAACGTTGGGGTCACTTGGTTTTAAGAGGAAAAATTATAAAGAAAATGGCCGCCAAAGTTTGGTGACTTCCATAGCTTGAGAGGTTTTGGGAGATGGAAATTTACACTTTTGCGGATTCAATCAATGTTTCTCAGTTAACTTCACACACACACACACACACACACACACACACA